TTATGTATTGTTGAGAAGTATGAAGGGCGTTGTCGATGTAGGAGTGCTCACTAGTGTTAACACGGGGAGTGATCACCGCATGTTAAGATGTAAAATGCGTCTGAATCCGATCTCACAACCAGTAAGAAGACCAAGAGGATTCCCCGTTATCGACAGCGACTTATTGTGTTCAACCGCTCAATGTTTACTACATGAAAATATGATGACTGGCGATACAATCAAAGATTATGATACCATTACTCGCGTCATAACAACAGCTACTCAGATGTCCACAAGGTATGAATATCTCCCACCACGTCTATCACCAAGGACCCGGGATCTCCTCCAGAGACGACGAGAGCTACGTCACGGAGATAATGGGAGGGGAATCGTGGAGTATGCTGAGATTTGCAAGCTAGCCCGAAAATCTATCCAAGAAGATTTGCGACAACGTCATATTCAAATATTTCGTCAAGCCATCAAGTCCGGACGCCTTCGACGTGGGCGCATGCAAGCTTTACACGCAAGAAGATCCTTGACAATCCTGAAAGAAACCACCTCCTCCCCTCCTAGCGACCCCTCCCCATCAGATGAACCTTTTCCTGATCACGTGTCGCAGTCAGTGAAAGCAGTGAGAAATTTTTATAACGCACTGTACCACTCCTCCTTCGGCCCACCCACTCCACCATCAGGCCAAATAAATCTGCAGGTCCACAATAATGAAGTGCAAATGGCAATGAAGAGAAGCAAAGCACGTTCAGCTGCTGGTTCCGATGGCATTCAATCCCCTTCTCTTCGTGCTCTTTCACAAATACTCGCCTTACCCATAACACATTTTTTCAACAACATGATAAGGACAAAGGTTGTGCCTGCAAGTTTTGCATTCGCTCACACCATTCTACTCTACAAAGCTGGAGACCCATCTAACATCGCTAATTACAGGCCAATATCGCTGCTGTCGACGCTGTATAAGGTGCTGACAAGAATATTTACAGACCGTTTGACAGCCACAATTGAGGAAAAGTCAATTCTACCACCGGAGCAGGCTGGTTTCCGCAAGCACTTCTCGACCATAGATCATATTCACACTATTAATATGATTACCGAGAAATGTCACGAGTTCAATATAGAGCTATGTGCCGTTTTCGTCGATTTCAAGAAGGCCTTCGATAGCGTGGAACTTCCAATGATATGGAAAGCGTTGGAGTATTTTGGTGTGGAGGAGAACTTGATAATGGCCATACAACTGCTGTATGCACACAGTACCGCTGCCGTCAGAATAGCGAACCAACTAGCAGAGTTCAATCTGCAGCGGGGTGTAAGACAAGGAGACTCAATGTCTCCAGTTCTCTTCACATTAGTTCTCCAGTACGCGCTGAATCTGATAGATTGGCAGGGCAAAGGACTGAAACTAGGGAACAAAACCCTCTCGTACCTAGCTTATGCTGATGATATTGTCCTTCTCGCTCATAGTTGTGAAGATATTGGAATAATGGCAAAAATGTTGGCCGATGCTGCGGAGAAAGTGGGACTCACTATTAATTTTATGAAGACGAAATGGATGAGATTGAGTAAAGCCGATCTAGGAGATATCGACGGTCCCTTATACGTGCAGGAAAATGAAATCGAACGAGTCGACCATTTCAGTTATCTCGGTCAAAGGATAACGTTCCCGCGAAATCCTAAGGATGTGATCCATAGTCGTATTCAAGCAGCTCGTGCCTCATACTTCAAGAACCGACTGTTCCTTCGACAACCTCGAGTGGAAATGAGTTTGAAACGAAAACTTATCAATATGTGTATCCTACCAACAGTGTTATATGGTTGCGAAACATGGGTATGGACAAAGGAAGTGGCGATGTGCCTCAGAACAGCACAAAGACGTTTAGAAAGAGCCATACTTGGAGCTAGGCTTTCGGACAAAATCTCATCCAAAATCCTACGCAGAAGGACATCGCTGAAAGATTGGGTGGTTTCGGCACTACAAAGAAAATGGTCCTACGCTGCGCGTCTCTCAAGAAGGTCCCCTCAAGACTCCTGGGCTCGAGTGGCAACTGACTGGATACCACAAGGAAAAAGAGGTCTCGGACGTCCCAGAACAAGATGGCTGGACGACTTCGCTCGTTATACTGGAGCAAGGACCAGAGACATGACTAGAAGATGGACGACATTATTCACCGCTGCCGGTTCCTCGAGAATCTTCGCACAAATGATCAAAAACACTCTATTTGTGTCTGTGCGATAAAGAATAAAGTATAAAGTATAAAGTATAATACATTTGAAGTTTGTGAAGACCACTTGTCAGACCTTGTGAAGAACACCTGTCAACTCTTGTAATGCAATGAACAAGACAATTAGATTTAATGGAAGTGCAAAACGCCCACGCAGAACTGGGTCCTCTTTGTCGTGTGTCTGAGGCTAACGACTCATGCGCATTGTGCTTTTCTACTACCATTTTGTTATAGTTTGAAAAGCTGGAACCGTACCCTACTAGAATCATAATTTTGTAGCATGATAGTCGACGATGTTGCTTCCGTACCACGACCGTCAGCACTATGGCGTAAATGAGCTGAATTCAAAGAAAATTCAGTGCAAGACAGAACGAAAGCTCCGAATCAGGCTTAGTGCGCTTGGTGCTCTAGTTCTGCAGCTTTTGCAAATTGTTTCATGCAACACAGAAATGAATTAGATTGCATGTAGGGTGCGCCATGCCTTAGGTTTATGCAGAAGTTGTGCAAAGGTATAATTTCTACGCCATGTTTGTCTAAGCAGCAGATGTGTTCATTCGGTTTACAATGTCACATAACCAGTTTAAGGACTTGGCCCTTGGATTCTAAGTGGCACTATTTAATCACATGAGAATTTATTTCGACTTATTAAGATTGTTAGCTAATTATTCTGATACCAGCTTGGTGAACGTGCAGAACTGCACACATCCCACGCTTAGCTACATGAAGCTGACCACTTACAGGCTATCTGCGTCACGAGATCTTGAAATGCTTCCTTTATTTGGAAACGATGTCACGGGCTCGTGACGCAGATACCCTGTCAATGGTCAGCATTTTTGACACCTTTCAGCTGCTCTATGTTACCTATCCTGCTACCCCCACCGCCACCCATTCCTATCTCCGAAACAGCTGTTGTATGCGATTCTCGTTCCGACATACTTGCCATTGTATGCCATGGGTATCCACGTTTTCCGCATTAGACTGCAGCAACGCTATCCAATATAGTGCAGTAGACTATGGCGGTAACAGGTGGCTACTTGAAGAAAATTGTTCCCTAGCAGTTCCATCAAGAACCGATATCATTAGCGTGAGGGCGTTCGGGTCCGTATATTGTGGCTTGATTGGATGGACCCTTACAAGGATACCCTCTTTGGAAAAGGTGCTACTTAGCGCTTGCTCAGGGTCGCAGAATTCCGTCCAGCCAGGCGTATTAATCCTACTCGTCCTCGCGACTTATCAGGCCAACTGCCTTTCATCAGTGAGCAGTCACTTCGGGTGAACTATAATGTGAGATTATGTGAGGAAAGCAACTCATTTCTACGCTATAGTTGAGCGAGGCCGGATAGCCAGACAGAGGAACATTCGCTACAACCATGGATGGGGTGATCGTTTTGCTGTTCCGGATGGGCTCCCACCCAAGCGCCAGCCCAACACAAGAACTTTACTGAGCCTTCTACCTTCCGAGGACAGAAAATCGGTACAGTTTCATCTGGGAAGACACGAACACTTCTAGGCCCCCCCCCATTGTATAGTCCACATGGCATCGCGGAGGTAGAATGCATGCCGCATCCCAAAAAACACTGGTCAGCGGTGATGACTTCACTCTTCATCCTCCATATATTTTCAATTGGCTGAGGTCTTTGACCACAAAAAGTCTTGTCAAGAAATCATTAAATGTTTACGCACCACCTGTTCGTTTCCAGCATTGCTGTACAAACACAAATCTAAACAATTTACGTAGTTTTGCATTTTTGATCTCTTTCAATTAAATAAGTTTACGGGCCGAAAATGAACAACTTGATACTCTAATTATGCTCAAGATTAAAGCAAACCCCATGTAACTACAGATGCAAAAATCAGTTAATGTACTAGCAGCTGAGCCATTTCGGAGCTGATAGCTGGTTCTGAGGGAACTGCTAGGGAACAATTTTCTTCAAGCAGCCACCTGTTACCGCCATAGTCTACTGCACTATATTGGATAGCGTTGCTGCAGTCTAATGCGGAAAACGTGGATACCCATGGCATACAATGGCAAGTATGTCGGAACGAGAATCGCATACAACAGCTGTTTCGGAGATAGGAATGGGTTGGCGGTGGGGTAGCAGGATAGGTAACATAGAGCAGCTGAAAGGTGTCAAAAATGCTGACCATTGACAGGGTATCTGCGTCACGAGCCCGTGACATCGTTTCAAATAAAGGAAGCATTTCAAGATCTCGTGACGCAGATAGCCTGTAAGTGGTCAGCTTCATGTAGCTAAGCGTGGGATGTGTGCAGTTCTGCACGTTCACCAAGCTGGTATCAGAATAATTAGCTAACAATCTTAATAAGTCGAAATAAATTCTCATGTGATTAAATAGTGCCACTTAGAATCCAAGGGCCAAGTCCTTAAACTGGTTATGTGACATTGTAAACCGAATGAACACATCTGCTGCTTAGACAAACATGGCGTAGAAGTTATACCTTTGCACAACTTCTGCATAAACCTAAGGCATGGCGCACCCTACATGCAATCTAATTCATTTCTGTGTTGCATGAAACAATTTGCAAAAGCTGCAGAACTAGAGCACCAAGCGCACTAAGCCTGATTCGGAGCTTTCGTTCTGTCTTGCACTGAATTTTCTTTGAATTCAGCTCATTTACGCCATAGTGCTGACGGTCGTGGTACGGAAGCAACATCGTCGACTATCATGCTACAAAATTATGATTCTAGTAGGGTACGGTTCCAGCTTTCCGAACTATAACAAAATGGTAGTAGAAAAGCACAATGCGCATGAGTCGTTAGCCTCAGACACACGACAAAGAGGACCCAGTTCTGCGTGGGCGTTTTGCACTTCCATTAAATCTAATTGTCTTGTTCATTGCATTACAAGAGTTGACAGGTGTTCTTCACAAGGTCTGACAAGTGGTCTTCACAAACTTCAAATGTATTATACTTTATACTTTATACTTTATTCTTTATCGCACAGACACAAATAGAGTGTTTTTGATCATTTGTGCGAAGATTCTCGAGGAACCGGCAGCGGTGAATAATGTCGTCCATCTTCTAGTCATGTCTCTGGTCCTTGCTCCAGTATAACGAGCGAAGTCGTCCAGCCATCTTGTTCTGGGACGTCCGAGACCTCTTTTTCCTTGTGGTATCCAGTCAGTTGCCACTCGAGCCCAGGAGTCTTGAGGGGACCCTTCTTGAGAGACGCGCAGCGTAGGACCATTTTCTTTGTAGTGCCGAAACCACCCAATCTTTCAGCGATGTCCTTCTGCGTAGGATTTTGGATGAGATTTTGTCCGAAAGCCTAGCTCCAAGTATGGCTCTTTCTAAACGTCTTTGTGCTGTTCTGAGGCACATCGCCACTTCCTTTGTCCATACCCATGTTTCGCAACCATATAACACTGTTGGTAGGATACACATATTGATAAGTTTTCGTTTCAAACTCATTTCCACTCGAGGTTGTCGAAGGAACAGTCGGTTCTTGAAGTATGAGGCACGAGCTGCTTGAATACGACTATGGATCACATCCTTAGGATTTCGCGGGAACGTTATCCTTTGACCGAGATAACTGAAATGGTCGACTCGTTCGATTTCATTTTCCTGCACGTATAAGGGACCGTCGATATCTCCTAGATCGGCTTTACTCAATCTCATCCATTTCGCCATTTCGTCTTCAAAAAATTAATAGTGAGTCCCACTTTCTCCGCAGCATCGGCCAACATTTTTGCCATTATTCCAATATCTTCACAACTATGAGCGAGAAGGACAATATCATCAGCATAAGCTAGGTACGAGAGGGGTTCCCTAGTTTCAGTCCTTTGCCCTGCCAATCTATCAGATTCAGCGCGTACAGGAGAACTAATGTGAAGAGAACTGGAGACATTGAGTCTCCTTGTCTTACACCCCGCTGCAGATTGAACTCTGCTAGTTGGTTCGCTATTCTGACGGCAGCGGTACTGTGTGCATACAGCAGTTGTATGGCCATTATCAAGTTCTCCTCCACACCAAAATACTCCAACGCTTTCCATATCATTGGAAGTTCCACGCTATCGAAGGCCTTCTTGAAATCGACGAAAACGGCACATAGCTCTATATTGAACTCGTGACATTTCTCGGTAATCATATTAATAGTGTGATATGATCTATGGTCGAGAAGTGCTTGCGGAAACCAGCCTGCTCCGGTGGTAGAATTGACTTTTCCTCAATTGTGGCTGTCAAACGGTCTGTAAATATTCTTGTCAGCACCTTATACAGCGTCGACAGCAGCGATATTGGCCTGTAATTAGCGATGTTAGATGGGTCTCCAGCTTTGTAGAGTAGAATGGTGTGAGCGAATGCAAAACTTGCAGGCACAACCTTTGTCCTTATCATGTTGTTGAAAAAATGTGTTATGGGTAAGGCGAGTATTTGTGAAAGAGCACGAAGAGAAGGGGATTGAATGCCATCGGAACCAGCAGCTGAACGTGCTTTGCTTCTCTTCATTGCCATTTGCACTTCATTATTGTGGACCTGCAGATTTATTTGGCCTGATGGTGGAGTGGGTGGGCCGAAGGAGGAGTGGTACAGTGCGTTATAAAAATTTCTCACTGCTTTCACTGACTGCGACACGTGATCAGGAAAAGGTTCATCTGATGGGGAGGGGTCGCTAGGAGGGGAGGAGGTGGTTTCTTTCAGGATTGTCAAGGATCTTCTTGCGTGTAAAGCTTGCATGCGCCCACGTCGAAGGCGTCCGGACTTGATGGCTTGACGAAATATTTGAATATGACGTTGTCGCAAATCTTCTTGGATAGATTTTCGGGCTAGCTTGCAAATCTCAGCATACTCCACGATTCCCCTCCCATTATCTCCGTGATGTACAGTCGTGATCCCTCAGACTGGCCATCCGTAATTG